TTACTCTTCTCAAAAACTACTCGGAGTACTAGTTACTAGTTACTTTTTAGCCGGCGATATTTAATGAATTACCAAAAAATATTAATTCACATCACAGATCTATGTGGATAATAGCTACTTTGAATAAAACCCACTTTTATTTTATTGATAAATTATGTGAATTAGTGGTCATGATACAGGAATTTCTAACTTCAATACCTTGAAAAAAATATCATTAGTAAAGTACCCGTGAATCGGAAGTTGCAACTGACTTCAGTGTTATGATGTATTTCCAAGCGAAAGGTTGTGGCTAGAAGGGATACAGCTCTGACTTTTGTATCTTTAGAAAGAATGAACGGCGCACTCAACACATAAGACACTTGCACTGCTTTAGCGTGACTGCTCTCTTTACTGGGTTTTCGTATGTCAACTGTTTTCACTTCCGGCTACAACGTAACACTGCATTCTGGGAGATGTAGTTAAATAACAACGTTAACAAAATACACAACACTGTTGATTTTCTCCAAGCTGATTTCTGTCTGCCAGTCTTCTTGCTTACTTTCACAGGAGCAATGTCATCAATAACATTCTTAACTTTAGAGTTAAAGGAATCAAGGAGAAGATCAACAGAGTCTGCAGAAATGCTTGGTGTTAAAGATATAGCTTTCATGAATAGCACACTAGTGTTCACGTTAATGCATCTCTTTCTGACAGAGACAGATCTAGATTCAGTGGTAGCAGAGATCAATATATCAAAGAAAATACAGAAGTGATCAGATAGTGCTTGATAACAATGGATGATATGTTTAGACCTCTACTGATGATTAAATTTAGAGTATGTCCACGATTGTGTGTTCATGCACATGCTGAATCAGGTCAAAAGTGATTAAAACAGTTATCATTTATTTTGTAGTTTTTTTTTCTGCATTATCTATGTGAAAATTAAAATCCCCTGCAATAGCAAAACAGTCAAACTCTGTGCAAATCATTGATAGCATTTCTGTGAACTCTTCAACAAAGGCTGGAGAGTATTTTGGAGGCCTGTAAATAATGATAAACAGAATGC